CTTTTTTTACTGTTCAATGGTTGGGTAATAAATTGAGGATAAAGTTGAAGAAAATAAGGATTATGAGTTAGGTTATTTATGATAAGATAGCAAGGTTGGTAAGGATGGTATGGGATAAAGGCTCCAACCTACCTCCTTTCACAAAAAGTAAAATAACAAAAAGGAAAAAGATTACCAGAAAAACAAAATGCAGCTTGGCTTCAGAAAATCAACTTAGGTGGCTCGGCTTCTTTTTAATGAAAAGGCTTAATGAACGACTCACAATCGGCTGAAGCTCGGCTTAAGAACATGGACCAATGGCTTGGATGGCGATCAGGTTTAATTGATTATTAGGTGACGTATGAGTCACTGAAGCAGGTAAAAGGAATCCAGTTTTCTTTCCTAAAACTATGCCATTTCCTTTACAATATGAAAAGCCTTTTCCAAGCTTTTTCTTCTATTTTTCAGTTTTGTTTCTCTTTCTGAAAGTGGACTTCCCTCTTCTCTATCTATATAGGATGAACTTAGGCTAAAAACTTCAAGGATTTCTATATCCCAGTATCGTTGCCACTGCTTTTCATTGTAGGTCAACTACTTTTAAGGCCTAAATTTCACCCAGTGGCTCATCTTGATCTTCTTGTCTCAGATCCAGACTCAGATTCTCCAAAAACTCACTAGATTTGCATGGATTTGGAATTAATGTCACTGTTTTCCCTTCCCAGAACCTACATTATCACTGCTCCAACAGTTGTGGCTTCAAGGTATGGTATTCTCCTAGTTCTTAACTCTCTTTTCATTGATTTTTTCATCGATTTTCAGGACTCAAATTATCCTAAAATGTGTCAAACCGAAACAAAAAAAAAAATCTCTTATTTTTTACCTTTGTTCATCTCATTTTTGTTTCTAATTTTCTTTAGTTTCTGACTTCAATTTATTTCTTCTTGTTGGTAGGGCTTATTGATAGTGAGCTAATAGTGATAGTGGTGAAAAGAAGCAAGATCCAACTATTGGAAGTGGTGGTAGAGTTGGTTTAAGGCAACCTAACTGGTTTTGATTGCGATGGTGAATGGTGGTTTTTGTTAGAATTTTCTACTCTTGTATTTCTATGTAAGATGATTTTCTATGTGGCTATTATGCTGTGTGCTATAGGTTTGGTTGAGTTTGTTACTGGGTTTGGGTTCAGTAAAGTCTAAGCTACGCGAATTTGGTTAATGAAAAATTAAGGTTGGAATCTGTATTTGGGTTAATTGGGATTGTGTTTGGAATTGAGATTTAACTTGAGGTAAAGAATTTGACTGGTTTTATGCTTAGAGTTATGCTTGAAACTGGCTTTGGGGTATGTATTGTAGGTTGTTGGCAATGATGGAGGTAGTGATGAGAGAGGTTCGTGGCTTTGGCGTAGGCAGTGGTTGACTGGTTTATGGAAATTTTATGGTGGTATGGCATTCTGTGTGATGGTTTCAAAGAAGTTGTTGCTTGTATATATGGTATCTTGGCTTTTCAATTAATGTTGGGTTTAGGAATGACAGTGTTGGAATGCAATAAAGATCGGTGCCTAGACACTGGTGGATTAGGTAATGGTTAAGAGAATGATGGGTCGAATTGGCGATTATGGTGATGGTTGTGGGATGGGAGGTCTGCAGTTAATGGAGACAAGGGAAAACAATTTTTGGTTGATTGTTTTCTCTGTATTTTTTCACTCTAATTCTTTTGGGTTTTGCTTTTATTTTTCTGTATAATTATTGTCTCTATTTTTTTTACAGTGAATTACTAGTCTTATTTATAGTACACAACAAGAAAATTTAAAAATCAACTCAAATTTAATTCAAATCGAGGATTATCATTTTTTTTTTTTTGGTTTATCAACTCAAGTGTAATCTTAAACTTTCAATTCTCAATTTTTTAAATTAAATTATCTAGATAATGAAAGAAAAACAAAAGAAAATAACAATGAGATAAATGAAAAATGGGTAAACTGTAAATCGAAAAAGATCACCAAGCTAAAAAAAAATTCAAATCAGATAAAATAAAATTAGGTGAAATATAAAACATAATATGATAAATAATAAAAAATGCATATACAAATAAAACAATAAAAGTAAAAACACGAACAAAATTTAACTATTAGACTTGGAGTAAGTGTAAACTCAATCGATTTGAACCCTAAACTAAATATGATGTCTACAAGCAGGAACAGATTCAAGATTTTTATTCAATAGGGGTAAATTTATTATATAATATATTTACTTAAAATATTTTATTTAATATAAAGGAAATGTTTTCTAAATGTAAAATAGAGTTTTAATAAAAGAATTTGAAATATTTTTTACAACATCAAATATATAAAAAGTTTAAATAGAAATTAACACAAATATAACAAAAACTTATAATATTAAATACATTGAAAATTTAAATATCAAATAAACACAAACACATAATATTGTCATTTTTCAAAGGAAAATAGTAATATATAATTGAGTTAAATAGTTTTCATAAGTAGAAAATGTAAGATTTTTTTTGTTGTCAATATTAAAAGATATAAAACTTTATTCAATTTTAGATATTTCCTTTAAAATTCACTTTCTTTTACTATTGATATTTGTCTTTGACTAACTTAAATCAATTACTAATTTAATTTCTCTATAGTTTTTAATAAATAAAATAAGATATGAAAATACAAAATAGTAGCAACAACAAGCCACTTTTATATATATTTTAACTTTTTTAATAATTTTAAAATTGATATTTTTTTCTAAATTTTAGATTTTATTTGATTACATCTCTACAAGTTTGTTAGGTTACATCTCTACAACATTATTTTACATCAAATACATATTACTAAAAATTCTAAATAATGTTAAGAAAATCACATTATCAATATAAGAGAAAAACAACAAGAGAAGAAAATACTTTGATATGTTAAAAATAAAATTGTTATATCATGAGTGTTTTATCGTAGTTTCGTTTTACTTGTTATCTATATTTTACTATACAGGATTAGTTTAACTTTAATTTGCATTTTTTTTCTTTTTGCAAATATTTTATCATTTTACACTTAGACTTGGACCCTATTATAATAAAATAATGATATTTCACATAAGTAAAAAAAAATAAAGTTTGCAAATGGAAAGAAAGAAGAATAGACAGATGGGGGCAAAAGAGAGAAAAGTAATACTAGGTTGTAACTTAAAGTTAGTTAAAGAAAGGCTTACATGAAATAATTTTTTATAAGTTAAAATTTATTAATATTTATATATAATACTTTATTTTCTTTGAAATAAGTTGATTTTTTTTTTACAAATGTATATCTATACTTTATAATATTTTTAAAATCTTTCCCTTTTATATCTTTTGTTTCTTTAATCTAGTAGGGACAAAATGTAAGAATATTAAAATTTTTATCTAATATAATAATATATTTAAAAAGGGGTTATAGGATTTCCCCACCCATTGTAAATCTGTCCCTGTTTACAAGTATGATCGGCTTGCCCTATCATCATGAATAGTGGTTTGTCCTAAGAGGTTGTTACTATTGCTATTAATTTTGGAAATTGGTTAATAATGCAAATTTATGCACTCTATTTTAGATGACTTCACCTATTGTAAGGCTTACTGCATTATTTCCTACAAACTAGAAGAAATTTTACTTGCAGACAATATTAAATTTTTGCAATTTTGTTATATTGCAATTCATAATTGAACTACATGCAACATTTTCATAAACTAAAGTTTCACTCAAAATTTATCACATTTATTATAAGTTTCCATCATATTTATCGAGTTAATACCGACACTTTTATATCTAATAATATTTACATTTGATATTTACACTTTTAAAGCTTCCAAAATATTATGCAATTACTAAGATCAGAGAATCACTTTTTACTATAAAAATTCAAGTAGATTGAATTGCAAACAAATTATATCAGCGTGACATTCAAAAAGGATGAAATCTTCCCACTAATCTTAGTTAACATCTTTTGAACAGACCAACCAAAAAAAGGCCTTTTTGTTTTTTTTTTTGTTTTTCATATATAGTAAGGTTCATTTACAATTCATTCTTCATGAAGACTTGGGAGTTCAAATATCATGAATCTTGATTGACTGATGGTCAAATGCACTAATTATAGTAAAAACTGCTGATAAACTCGTAAACGCAGCTTTTTTGAAGGAATGGGCCTGGTCAAATTGCCTAAAACAAGCGAATGGAGGAAATAGATTCTTAAGTTCATTACATGAGGTTTGAGAAAATATTGCAGTTGCACCAAAACACCAGGAGAAAGACCTAAAACTAGGCTTCTCATTTTTTCCTTTCAATCATATTCTCATTCCCGTTTTCTTTCTGGTTCTATAGGATTCTTTTTTTTTTTTCTTAAGGATTTATAGCGGGAGGTGAAGGAGGCATTGGCCTGGTAATTGCAAAGGCAGTGGTGGCAATTTGTTCTGTCATCACAAAGTTTAGACATTGTCGTGAGCCACAAGTTACAAAGTTGTTCCTGAGATGGCTCCTCTCTTCGCATCTGATGACAATATACCTGCCAACACCACTGCCGTGGCCGTCGACAAAGACAAAAACAGCCCAAATGCTGTACGTTGGGCTATTGATCATCTTGTGATCACCAACCCATTCATCATCTTGATCCATGTTAGGCAAAAAAACCGTAGGTACCCTCTCTTGTTTCTCATATTATTATCTTCATTGCCTTTTGTTCATTGAAATGGTTGGTCATGCATTCTTTTGTTTTCTTTTTTTTTTCTGATTTCTTTTGTTCTTAATTTAATATTGTAGAGGGTGAAAGAGTATCTGATCATGACATAAACCAGCTTTTCATTCCTTTTCGCGGCTATTGTGCACGTAAAGGGGTAAGCAGTTTTCACATTGAACAAATTTGGAAAGCAATGGTTAAGAATTTGTTCACTCACAAGATTGAAACAGTATCAGATGATGGATATTTCTTATCAGAGTTATGTCATGGCATAACCAAATTCCAATTAATACCTAATTTCATTGTCAAGTTCAGATTCAAATGAAGGAGGTTATCCTTGAGGATACTGATATCTGTAAAGCACTTTTGGACTATGTCAGCAAAAACTTGATTAACAGTCTAGTCCTTGGTGCAGCAACGAGGAATGGTTTTTCAAGGTTGATTAATACATTTTCCTTCCTTATTCTCTATTCTTGTTCTCTCTTTCCTATTCTAACAATCAAAGTTCAGTTATTTGTCTTATAGGAAATCCAAAAATGACATTCCGACCAGCTTGATCAAAACTGCACCAGAGTTTTGTTCGGTATATGTAATTTGCAAAGGTAAGATATTGACAATGCGAAAAGCACAGAGAACAGTATCTAATACTGCTACCCCGCCAAAAGCACCATCAGGAATACCGCCTCCGATCCCGCTGGATCAAATTGAAGACGATGGAAACAGGTGGGAAACGTTGGTTCCATTCTCTGTATTGACTGAAAGATTAGTGATGGCAAATGTAACCAAATAATCAAAATCTAAAAATTTGATTGGAAAATTACAGATGGTCTCTTTTTTGTACTAGTATAAAGTTGGTCTACTATGTTTTATTGCCTGTCTGTGGTTGACATTGTATATTTTACTTAAAATAGAGGGCAATATGCAAGGGGAGCATTGAGAAATGCAGGATCAGAGAGATTGTCCTTGGATAATCCCCCAAAAGTACCTATACGTGACCGCGACAGATATAGAAGCTTTCCAGAAAATCTGTCATTGGACACCATTGATTTAGCTATCCAAGGACGGCCCTCAACTAGCAATGATTCCTTAGCTATTGACTCAGACTTTCCAACAAAACTTGGCCTTGGATCTATGGATATTTCTGGCCAAAATTTAGATTTCTCTGTGGTTTCAAGTATCCCTTCAGAGCCACTTACACAAAATTCGGTAAGTGACTTTTAATATTAGCTATCAAATGCATGTAAGAATTCACAGATAGTGGATTGTGTTTTTACAGTAAAGCATTGCTAGCTTAATGACAAAAGTGCTAACACATAATATGATATGTCCTTGAATTGCAGCGAGACATACAAGCTGAAATGAGAAGGTTGAAGCTTGAACTTAAGCAGACCATGGATATGTACAGCACAGCTTGCAAAGAAGCTCTTACAGCCAAAAGAAAGGTAAACTTATACCTTCATAATCTCAACTTTTCAGTTTCTGTCAATTAGATAACAATATCTTCCAAAAAAATATTGAAATCCCAAGTCTTAACAGTTAGAAACTACAATTAATACTTGACTTTGTCCAGTAATCTGAAAATTGAAATTTTCTATACATGTTTGGCCATATTAGATGGTTTTAAATTTTGATGAATAAATGGTAAACATATTAAGAATTTGCAAATGATAAAGTTATTGTACACAAAAGGTACAAATGCTTATTCTTCTTATAACTACTGGGATAAGAAGCAATGAAGGATGTCTTTTAAAGTTACAGTACAATTACCAGATTGTCTGGATGTTACATGTAAATAATTTAAAACACACTTAAATTCAAAAGTATGTAGGAAATTATCCTACCAGTCTTTTCTAATGCTTAAAGGGTGTCAAGAATATCAGTTTGAGAACATAGTTGACTTTTTGAGTCCAGGCTAATGAGCTTCATCAATGGAAGATGGAGGAGGCTAGCAAGTTTGAGGAAGCCAGGTTAGCTGGAGAGGCAGCTCTTGCCATTGCAGAAATGGAGAAGGCTAAGTGCAAAGCTGCCATTGAAGCAGCTGAGGCAGCACAAAGGCTAGCAGAGATGGAAGCACATAGAAGAAGACAAGCAGAGTTTAAAGCCAAGAAGGAGGCAGACGAGAAGAATCGGGCTTTGAATGCTTTGGCAAAAAATGATGTCCGGTACAGAAAATATACCATAGAAGAAATTGAAGAAGCTACTGAAATGTTCTCAGAATCAAATAAGATTGGAGAAGGAGGTTATGGACCTGTTTATAAAGGCAAACTTGATCACACTCCTGTTGCCATCAAAGTTTTACGACCTGATGCTGCTCAAGGAAAGAAGCAATTCCAGCAAGAGGTAAGGTGTCATGTTGGCATTACTAGCAAGGATATTATTTTCTTAAAACCATTTAATTTCAGTAGGAAGAGACCAAAGAGGTTGTTGGCATGATTGCTATAAAAAATAGTAACATTATTTAACTGTCATTATGTAGGCATCCATATCCTTTCAATTCAAGCTAATATTCTGTTCTACAAAATACAAACTTGTATAGGTTGAGGTTCTTTGCAGCATTAGACACCCAAACATGGTCCTTCTCCTTGGCGCCTGCCCTGAGTATGGATGCCTGGTATATGAATACATGTTCAATGGCAGCTTAGAGGATAGGCTATTTCGAAGGGGCAATACTCGTCCACTTTCCTGGAGGAAACGATTTAAAATAGCTGCAGAAATTGCAACTGCCCTTCTATTTCTTCACCAAGCAAAGCCAGAACCACTAGTGCATCGGGACCTTAAGCCAGCTAACATTCTTATAGACCGTAATTATGTGAGCAAAATTAGTGATGTTGGCCTAGCACGGCTAGTTCCACCTTCTGTAGCTGACAGTGTAACACAATATCACCTGACTTCAGCAGCAGGGACATTCTGTTACATAGATCCTGAATATCAACAAACAGGCATGCTAACAACTAAATCAGACATATATTCCCTCGGAATAATGCTTCTCCAGATAATTACAGCCAAGCCTCCAATGGGTATTGCTCATCATGTTGGAAAGGCCATTGAAAAAGGAACTTTTGCCGATATGCTTGATCCAACTGTGCCAGATTGGCCAGTTGAAGAGGCTTTATCATTTGCTCAATTGGCACTGAAGTGTGTAGAGCTGAGGAAGAGGGATAGACCAGATCTTGGCACTGTTATAGTGCCAGAACTTAACTGGTTAAGAGACCTTGGAATGAGCTCTGACTCACGTAGCCTTGGATACAGCAGTGATGGTTATACCGGACATAGCAGTGGTGGTTATAGCCAAGGATACAGCGGTGGGGGTCATAGCCAAGGACACAACTATAGTGGTCATAGTGGCAGCCATGCACGTTCTTCAGTAAGTCCACTTTCAAGGTCGAGGACATCATCAGCAAGTCAGGTTTGAGGCTTATCTATCATAATAGATATTAATTAGATGCATACTGCATAGCATGAAAAGTTCAGGTTTTCAGAAGATAGGCAAGAAGGCTTATGGCCACATAAAGAGTACTTTTGACAAGCAAAGAGTACTCAATTGTCTAGAAAAGTATCCTAGAAAAATCCCCAATTGCTTGTTATTAACAGTATGAATCCTTCTTGCCACAATTTCCATGTGGGTGCACAAAATACATTATTCTTGGAAAGCTGGTTTTCTTACATTGTTTTGTTTTTGAATGGCTAGGAATCAATGAGTAAGACTGAAAATTCAGAAACTGAACAAATACCAAACTCTAAAGAAGATGAAGTTGAATGAAGCTCCAGACGAGATTGAAGGATTGAGAGAAAGAAGCTGCTTATATCTGAAGAAAAACAACATTGTTTGTGAACAAGATTGAGAGAGAAGGATGCTGGACCATGCAATATGACATCATAAATATATCTATCTTCAAGGTCATTTTAGCACTTGCAAAAATTTGACTTTGAAAAGCAAGCCTAAAACTTCTTCATTTTCCTGCTTGCAAAACAACTAGTAGTCAATATTTTTTTCTAATTATTTTTAAGAATTGGAGACTCACTTTCTTATTGTTAGATGTTTAATGTATTCTCAGAAGATAACTTAGCAATGACCTGATGGTTACACCGAGTAATTTTCCCCTAATCTATGAAAGTCATTCATCAACATCATAATCATAATGATCCATTGCATCATCACAATTAACATGAATCCTTTTCAAGTTAAATATGTGCCTTCAGGAATGTTTTTCTTATGAATTGCCCTGTTTTTTCGGATAGCCCCACCTTGTCTGATGCTTGAGAGAACTGTAGAATGCCTCGAATTAAGTTAAAAGTGAATTTTGAATTCTTCTTCTATGGTTGCTGCTCTGCTTTGAAATTTGACCCGTAAGCATCAATAATGGTCAAGGACCTCCAGATAGTGGGATAGTCAACATAATCAAACTGTACTCCCCAAGTAAGTTATTCAAGATGCTTGCTAAATGACTTAATTCTTTAATGGCGTGGGCACTTCCCACCTTTCAGGGATATCCTGATACAAGCAATAATAATTCCCTAAACCTGTAATGAGAAAAAGAGATTCAGCAGCCCTTCTTACAAGAAAAACACAAGCAGAGAATAAAGTGTTAAAGGTGACATTATGAGGAAAGATTGATGCTCACAAAAGTGAATTTATGTTAAGAGAAAGGTATAAGAAAAAGTAAGAATGGCATCACCAAACAAGTTTTGCTTTGGATCCCCCTCCCATGAAATTGAAATCATGCAAATATACAAGTAGATAATAAAAGTTATTAGCACTAATGTTTAAAACCATGTCATTGAATTTTACGCTGTTGTTTGGGTCCCCCACTTAATCATTCTTATTTTTATTAGACTTTTAGAAGAGCCATACACACATGTAAAGGGCAAAGGGGCCCATCTAAATGCATAGCCTTCTTCTGGCATTTGTTGATAAAGTCACAGAGCAGATAGATAAGTATAACAGGTTCCTGTCCAGCAATTCACAAATGCACAACATCAACTTTCAATTTATATAACAAAAATGCAGATAGGCTTTGGTAATAATCAACTATCCCAAGAAAGCAAATGGCTTGTCTGGCTCTTGTAAGTAGGGATCATGGGCGTGATCATGCTTGCTAGAGTAAAAGAGTAATATCTGAGGATGAAATGTGGACACCATACATCAGTGATTGTGCACCATGTCCAATCTTTTATTCACCATCACTTCCACCACTAATGAAGTCATTTCCACCTCCAACACCGTCAGTTTACCACTTTCCACCACCAGTACCTTATTATTACATCCCACCGGATCTTACTGTCACTTCCCACTAATATCAAAATCACTATCACCTCCATCTCCACCGCGGCTACCCCCATCAGCACTTTCATCATATTCCTCAAAGGGCAGTCCACCACCTCATTTAATACTCTACAATGCACCTCCGGCTCAAGGACCACCTATGGTAGTAGGACCACACGGGAACCTCTGTTCTCACTACTACTATGCATCAAAGGCCTCTTCTCTTTTACTTCAGGCTTCCTTATCACTTGCAATGTTGATATTTTTCGATGTTGTGTTATTGCAATGTTGAATGGTCGGATGTTTAAACATACAGTCTCCCAGGCATATGTATAAATTAGGAACACATTTGGGCTGTTATTTATTCATGTTCTTTTATCATTCTGTTTCAAGTTCTTGTACCCTATGCTGCAATTAATATTATGAGAAACCCATGAACAAGTGCATGTAGCCGTTGTCTCAGAAAAAATAAGAGTCTAAATGAATTGAATATGAATGAATAAATATATATTCTTGATTTGTTCATTTATTTTTAGAATTGTTTGTTTTTAGTTTGTGTTCGGTAAAAAAATTATTTATTATTTTCGAGTTCAATTTGTTTAAATGATAAAATACTTAAGTTTGATTTATATGTGACTCATTTAAGTTAAATAAATTTGTTTATAAATATTAAGCGAATATATTCACATACATATATATATAAATAAACATATTTATGAATAATAAATAAATATATTCACAAATAATAAACAAACTACAATTAAATAAATTTAAACAAATAAACATACAACTATAGAATTAAAAATAAACGAACATACATGTTCGTCTTAAACATACAAAATTTAAACAAATTTTAAATGAGTTTTATTTATGAATATAAATGAATCAAATATATTTTTATTTGTATTCAAATCATTTAATCAATGAATATAAAAATATTGTTCAAAATCATTTGTCAAACTTAATAAATAAACATAAATGAACAAAAATTGAACATATTTATGAACGATTTATCAAAACTCTATTCATTTATACCTTTAAATGTGTTATTATTCCGTAGGAAATTTTGTTTCCTTTAATTTACGTCTTGCACCTATTGTCTTTGAATATCCGTCTTGACCTAAAGTTATGATTAATGGTGTAAATAATAAATTAATATTTGTAAGCTACTCGATTCGATTTGATTAAAACTCGAATTTGATTCGATAATTATCGAGTCAAGTTCGAGCTCAAGCAGCTTGACTTATCAAACAAGTTAAGTTCAAATATATTAACACTCGGCTCAAATTGTTAGCGAGCCTAATTGAGTTTTTCTATTTAAATCGTTTTTTAACAAAAAAAAAAAAACGTCTTGAATAATCCTTATAAAAATTAAAAAAAATTATTTAAAGTGTTTTTAGCACAAAATGTTTTGAATAATTCATTTCAAATTTTTTTTGAGATTATTCTAAACGTTTTTTATCAGAAAATGCTTTAAATAATTTCCTAATAAAAATTAATAAGGATTATTCAAGGTCTTTTTGGACAAAAAAACTTTAAATAATCCTCTTCCATTTTTTTTTGAATATTTACATTTAATTTTTTGTAAGGGATTATTCGAGACATTTTTTAAGCAAAAACGTCTTGAATAATTCCTAATAAAAAATTAGAAGAGATTATTCAAGATATTTTTGACAAAAAATACCTTAAATAATCCTTTCATAAAAATTGTAATGGATTATTTAATATTTTTTTGATCAAAAATATATTGAATAATCTTATTTAATTATCTTGAATAATAAAAAAAATTATAATCCCTTCTAAAAAAATTGACACGATTATTCAAGGCGTTTTAAGCTAAAAACGTAATGAATAATCTTTTTATAAAAATTGAAGGAGATTTTTGAAGATTTTTTTTACTAAAAATGCTTTAAATAACCTTATTCAATTTTTTATAAAGGATTATTTAAAGCATTTTTTAAGTAAAAATACCTTAAATAATTCAAATAAAAAATTGAAAGAAATTATTCAAAGCTTTTTTGCTTAAAAAATGCTTTGAATAATTTCTTTATAAAAATTAAAAGAAATTATTCAATATTTTTTAATAAAAAATATCTTGAATAACTTTATTTAATTTTTTGTAAAAAATTATTCAAAACGTTTCTAATCAATAACATCTTGAATAATTCAAAAAAATGATAAAAAATTATTCAAGATATTTTTTATTATGTTTGATAAAAAATAATTATAAAAAATTTTAATATCGAATATTAAATTTTTATCGAATATAAAAATTAAATTTATTTTTATATATTAATCAAATTTAATCAAATAAATTTAAATAGCTTAATTTCAATTACAAAATAAATTTAAATTAAAAATATAAAATTTAATCAAATTTAAACTGAGTATTAAGTTCCAAGTTCGAAAATCGAACTCAAAATTTTCAATTCAACTCTATTATACTTTTAGCCGGGACAACTTATCTATTTGAATATCCTTAATATCCAACGTCAAAGTAAAAAAGCACTTATGAAACTCACTTACCGTTCCCGTTTGCACAAATTCTGGGAGCCGTGGTTGTTATCCCTATACAATATTGGCTCACAACACAAGGCCAAAGATTTAGCCCGCAGCCTGTTCTCGGAGTCAGTACCAACATCTTTCAGATAAAAAAAGAAAAAGCGGAACCAGAAAAAATCTCTAGCGGATCCATTAAAACAGATTCCGAATCTGTTTCTCCCTCCTAGAGAGGATCCAACAAAACCACAATTTAACATTGGTAATGGAACTATAGAATGGAGACGACACCGTTTCCCCATCGGCGTCACCTACCTCCGCCACGGCCCTTCTCCTCCCTCTCGCCTCCGTCTCTCAACAGTCTTACGTTTCCGAACTCCTCTCTTTCACTACCGATAGCCTTCATAAGGTCCGTTTCACTCGTTTCTGTTTTTGGCTCTCTTCATTTCTTTATGTAAGCTGTTTGAGATTGAATCGTGTTTGTTGTTTCTGAATGAAAAGGAGCCGGAGCTTGTTCGAGTTGATGCGGAGAGGATTCAGAGGCAAATTCAAGAAGTGGCGGTTGGTAATTACCGCTCTTTCATTGCTGCCGCGGATGCGTTGGTTGCGATCAAAGAGGAAGCGTTTTCTATCGATAAGCATCTTGAATCTCTGGTAATTACCTTTCTTTTTTAATTCAATTTTCATATTTTTATTTTTTTTAGGTTCTGGTACTTATTATTTGCTTTCTGATACTGAGATGTCATTTGATCTATAGATTGTTATGAACTAATTTTGAAGTAGGAAATGTACAGTAGTTAGATTAGAAGATTGGAAAAGAGTACAATGCATGCAACTTAATAATTATAAACTTCATTTTCCTTTAATTTTAGCTACTGGCATTTGGGAACCAAAATTCAAGGAGGTTCTATAATTGTTTTCAAAGAGCTTTGTATTTTTTTGGCCAATCTTCAAAGAGATTTGTTAAAGACTCTTGAAAGTATCAATCGGAAAGGTTTGGTTGTTA